ACCAACTGCCATCTTCAAACATCGTCTGGCTCCTGGATGGAAGTCGTCTTTCTTTCATGGCAAACAATGCAATTGCCCCATTAAGCTAATTGATATATGTACCAGTATCCAGAACAAGGACAGATTTCTTGATTATTTTCGTACTGAACACACATGAAGCTGCCTTCTAATGAATCAGACCCTCGGTCAAATAAGGTCAGTATTATCTGCTCAGACTGGCATGTCTCTCCATGGTCTCATGCAGAAATCTTGCACATCACCTACAACTCAATCTTTTTAACTGGAGGCGCTGGGGATTGAACTTGGAACCTTCAGCATGCCAAGCAGAGGCTGTTCCACTGAGCCACAGCCCCTCCAGGGTCTCAGGCAGAGGTCCTTCACATCACCTACCATCTGGAGGTACCGAGGATTGAACCTGGGACCTTCTGCATGCCAAGCAGAGGCTCTTCCACCAACCCATGCCCCCTCTCCACAGCTCTCCAGGGTCTCGGGTAGAGGTCTTTCACATCACCCACCATCTGGTCCTTTTAACTGGGGATGTTGGGGATTGAACCTGGGACCTTCTGCACGCCTGACAGAGGCTCTTCCACTGAGCCACAGCCCCTCACCCAATGCACAACAGCGAATGTTCTGCTCTTCCCAAGAAATCTCAAGAGTTCTATGCCTGTGTCAGAGCTCATTTGCGGCACTCACCCAGCTACTACGTGGGGGTATTTCATTCGAAACCAAGCAGCAAGCATCCCTCCGTACGACCCCCCTATGGCAATGACAGGGGTTTCCTGGGATCCTGGGATAGTCTTCTTCAGATGCTGGACGAGGACGGCAAAGTCCGCCAGAGCTTGCTCCGACGTCAGGTAATTCAGATATCTGGCATCCTGAAATAAGATCGGAGGACAGTTGCATTAGTGGACGAGAACCTGAAGTCTCTCGCACTCCAGGAACCGGGTCTGTTGCACCATCCCTCACACAGCTTGAGGGGGAAAGAGGATACAGTCACCGTGTGTGGATTCACCATGCACTCTACAACAGAGCCGACGGCTCACTAGAGCGACATCAAAACGCCACAGGCTACTTCTCTGCAAAGTGATCAGGGCAAAGCCCTTTATCGACCCATCTACTGGTCAGCAAGCTCCACCCACATGGCCATGCATTTGAAAGCAAGAAATTGCAAGTAGATAAATAGGTACCACTTCGGTGGGAAGGTAACAGCGTTCCGTGCACCTTGGTGTTTAGTCATGCCGGCCACATGACCACGGAAACGTCTTCGGACAGCGCTGGCTCTTCGGCTTTGAAACGGAGATGAGCACCGCAACCCTGGAGTCGGATTCGACTGGCTTTCGAGCAAGGGAACCTTTACCTTTACCTTACTGGTTGGCAAGCTCCACCCACATGGCCATGCATTTGTATGGCACAGCAAGGGTTTTGGCCAAAAGGGGGCAACAGCTTGCTGATGGGCAAAACCCTTTGGAGTTTCACACGGTGAATTTCTGACATCTCCAACGCAGCAGAATTACCAACAAAAGGGACTTTGTTGTGGAAAACGTTTGCTGTATTGAACAGGATACACCACCCTATCCCAGGTTGTGTTTATCGACACCCCCAGAATGCTTATTTTTCTCATGCGGAAGGTGGTTCTTTTGCCCTCTGTGGCTCCAGCATACCTGAAAGACCATTGGAGTCCTCTAGATCGGGGTCCCCAACAGAGTTTTTAAAAAGTGGGAGGGGCTTTTGCCCAGATTTTAAGGAGCTGCTTTGGAAGCGGCTGCCACCACAAAATAAGGATCTTCACTGTGTGATGGAAGGTGTACACAAGAAAATGTTCTTGAACAATATGTTCCTTTTAAAAAGCACCCTCTTAAACAGAGCTACTGCCTGAAATGTTGACGATTCACTATTAAAGTTATATGTTACCTCACTCCCTCACAGTTCGGTTGGCAGCTCTTCTGAGCCAGTTTGGTATAGTGGTTAGGAGCGTGGACTCTAAACTGGGAGAACTGGGTTTGATTCCCCACTCCTCTACATGCAGCTGCTGGTGTAACCTTGGGTCAGGCATAGTTCTCTCAGAGCTGTTCTCTCATGAGCAGTCCTCAAAAGAAGTCTCTCAGCCCCACCTACCTCACAGGGTGTCTGTTTAGAGAGGGGAAGGGGAAGGAGATTGTAAGCCACTCTGAGACACCTTGAGGTAGTGAAGGGCGGGGTATAAATCCAATCTGTTCTCTCTTCTTTGTGGCCGGCTGGGCCCCTTGTGGCAGCCATTTTGTGCCTGTGCCTAACATCGTGTCAGAATTTCAAAGAGCTCATAGGCTCAAAAAGGTTGGGGATCTCTGCTCTAGATGTCAAGAGCTTTAATTTTACTCCAGAATTGGTAGTTAATTCTAATGGGGGAAGGTAAGAGAACATAAGAGAAACCATGTTGGATCAGGCCAACGACCCATCCAGTTCAACGCTCTGTGTCACACACTGGCCAAAACCCAGGGGCCATCAGGAGGTCCACCAGCGGGCCAGAACTCCAGAAGCCCTCCCACTGTTGCCCCCAACAAGCACCAAGAAGACAGAACATCACTGCGCCAGTACTTACATCAAACGACTTGTTTCCGAAGGGGAGAGACTCCCCATAGTATCTGTGCTCAGCAAATATCAAGATAGCACCAAGCTCTTCAGCTATGTTCCACATAAGACCCTGGGAGGGAAGAAAAGGTATTTAAAAGCTGCAAGGGGGGGGACAGTCTTAACCGTAAGAGAACCCAAATGCTTAGGAAGGGTAAGAAACCGGAGTAACACACACCGTATTGTTCGCAAACCAGGCAATGTCCCCTTCGTTGCCAGTGTAGAAAAGGATTGTCCCATCATCTTGCCTCCAGTGCTGGTCTGCTACGAGGAAGCGCTGCTTGAAGGTGCTGTCTTCAGCAAAGCCAAAGTGGTCAATCTGCGGGAAGACAGAGCAGGGAACGCATTGACTTTGTTTAAAAAAATGGCAAAGATCTTCAGTGTACAAAGTACAGTCAGTTCAGCAATGAGAGAGGTTCTCTGCAACAAAGACATAGGTGAGATTCACAGGTGTGTACAGTTTCAGGAGGGTCGCCGTGCTGGTCTGTAGTAAAACAGGTAGGTTCGAGTCCACTAGCACCTTAGAGACCAACAAGGTATCCACGGCATATGCTTTCAAGAGTCAAACGTTTGTTTCATCAGATCTGATAAAGGGAGCTTTGACTCTCAAAAGCTCATACCCCGAAAATCTGCTACTAGACTCGAATTTAGAAGAAAAGAAGGTAAGAGATTGGATTTATACCCTGCCCTTCACTACCCAAGGGAGTCTCAGAGCGGCTTACAATCTCCTTTCCCTTCCCCTCCCCACAACAGACACCCTGTGAGGTGGGTGGGGCTGAGAGAGCTCTGACAGAAACGGCTCTTTTCCAAGAACAGCTCTGACAGGACTATGACTTGCCCAAGGTCATCCAGCAGCAGGTGCAAGTGGAGGAGTGGGGAATCAAACCCGGTTCTCCCAGATTAGAGTCCGCACACTTAACCACTACAACAAACTGGCTCTAGCTCTTCATAAGTACATACACATACCATTTGTGGCCCAGGGCCCATGGGAGCTTGCTTTACAACCTGTCAGGAGCACTGGCCGGCTGGACAGCCGATGATGACGAAGAAGAGGAGGAGGAGTTGGATTTATACCCCACCCTTCACTCGGAGTCTCAGAGTGGCTTACAATATCCTTTCCTCTCTCCACAACAGACACCCTACAAGGCAGGTGGGGCTGAGAGAGCTCTTTCGAGGACTACTCTTGAGAGAACAGCTCTGAGAGGACTGTGAATGACCCAAGGTCACGCCAGCCGCTGCATGTGGAGGAGTGGGGAACCAAACCCGGTTCTCCCAGATTAGCATTCGTGCTCCTTACCACTACACCAAACTGGGTGAAAACATAAAGCAGAGAACGTCAGAAAGGGAGATGTCAGCAAGAAGGTAGACAGAAAGCAGATGGCACTGTTGTGCAATTCCCAGATCTTGGGCTTGTCAAGTCCAAAGGGGCCAACAGAACAGCTCCTGGATGCTCACGTCCTCTGGAAACTCAAGTCCACGTCACATGTTCATTTTTGGAAGAGTTACAAACAGCAGTTGTGCCAAAGCAGTACTGACTGCTTAAGTTCCCTGTCTGCATTATACAGAGAGGTACTACACAATGTAATCAACCCTGACTGTTCCCTGGAAGGCCAGATAATGAAACTGAAGCTCAAATACTTTGGCCACCAAATGAGAAGGGAGCACTCACTGGAAAAGACCCTGATGCTGGGAAAGACTGAAGGTCAAAGAAGATGGGGACGGCAAAGGATGAGAGGGTTAGACAGTGTCATCGATGCAACGAACATGAAATTGAGCCAACTTCAGAGGACGGAGGAAGACAGGAGGGCCTGGCGGGAGATGGTCCATGGGGTCGCGAAGAGTCGGACTCGACTGTGCGACTGAACAACAACAATGCCCAGAACTGCACACAGTATTCCAAATGAGGTCTCACCATTGATTTATATAGGGGCATTATTATATTGGCTGATCTGTTTTCAATACCCTTCCTAATAATCCCCAGCATAGCATTGGCCTTCTTTATTGCAGTCACACACTGTCTCGACATTTTCAGTGAGTTATCCACTACAACTCCAAGATCTCTCTCTTGCTCAGTCTCTGCCAGTTCAGACCCCATCAATGTGTATTTATATTTAGGATTTTTGGCTCCAATGTGCATCACCTTGCACTTGGCCACATTGAACCCCATTTGCCATGTTGACGCCCACTCGCCCATCCTTGACAGATCCCCTTGGAGTGCCTCACAATCCTCACTGGTTTTCACCACCTTGAACAACTTTGTATCATCCGCAAATTTAGCCACTTCACTGCTTACTCCCATCTCCAAATCATTAATGAACAAGTTAAAAAGCAGTGGACCAAGTACTGATCCCTGCGGTACCCCACTGCTTACCACCCTCCACTGAGAAAATTTCCCACCTACACTCACTCTCTGTTTTCTATGAACTAGCCAGTTTTTGATCCATAAAAGGACTTGTCCTTCTATCCCATGATTTTTGAGCTTACTTAGGAGCCTTTGATGAGGAACTTTATCAAAAGCTTTCTGGAAGTCAAGGTAAATAATATCTATTGGATCCCCCTTGTCCACATGTTTGTTCACCCCCTCAAAGAACACTAACAGGTTAGTGAGACAAGATCTCAGAGTGGCTTACAGATGGCACTGTTGTGCAATTCCCAGATCTTGGGCTTGTCAAGTCCACAGGGGCCAACAGAACAGCTCCTGGATGCTCACGTCCTCTGGAAACTCAAGTCCACGTCACACGTTCATTTTTGGAAGAGTTAAACAGCAGTTGTGCCGAAGAAGAGTACTGACTGCTTAAGTTCCCTGTCTGCATTATACAGAGAGGTACTACACAATGTTCACATGAATAAAGGCTGCCACTCCTAGATACTCTAGGGAAGGTTTCAGACAGCGTAGAGTGCCTTATAATGTGTGCAAACTGTGTGGATAGTATAAAAGAAGAAGAAGAGAAGAAGAGATTGGATTTGTACCCCGCCCTTCACTACCCAAGGGACTCTCAGAGCGGCTTACAAACTCCTTTCCCTTCCCCTCCCCACAACAGACACCCTGTGAGGTAGGTAGGGCTGAGAGAGCTCTTTCACGAACTGTCCTTTCAAGGACAGCTCTTGTCAGAATGATGCCTTGGCCAAGGTCACGTCAGCAGCTGCATGTGGAGGAGTGGGGAATCAAACCCCGTTCTCCCAGGTTAGAGCCCTGTAGCACCTTAAAGACTAACGAAATTTAGACTCGAATTCTAGGTGTATCCGGAGAAGCAAGCAGTGACTCATAAAAGCTCCTCCCCTGCCACAAATTTTGTTAGTTTCAAAGGTACTACTGGACTCTTGTTCTTTTCTGCTACGACAGACAAACACAACTATCCGTCCAGATAATGTAAAGGCCACCTTGCCAAGAAATTCCAGAGTAACCCACTCACTTAAACTTATCAGCTTGGCATTTCTAGCCCAATATTAAAGAGAGCCGCGAACGGCAGTTTTTAATCTATACTTTCTTTCAACTTCCTCCCCCAAAATGGAACATGGAGGAGATCAAAACCCTACGCAAGCTACAATTAACAGCTGACACCAATGCTCTTTGGGGAAAGGAATTCTCAGCTGAGCGGTGTATGCAGGCATGGTGGACGGGTGCCTTCTTGACACCAGAGATTGTTTTTGGAAGACGGAGGGAAGCTATGCCCCTTCCCACTTCTCCCCATCACTGTTTTGTGAATCTACTTCCTTTCCTTAGTGGCCGCTTTCTCCTGTTTTACGACGGCAGTGCTGGAAAAACTCATCCGGCTGTTTTTTCCACCTACGATCTCACAGTGGCATCAAAAACGATGGGAAATTATACAGCATGGCGAAGCTTACAGATACTGGATAATATTCTTAAGCCCTCTAGACAGTCCTATCTCTCCTCTATATGGTTACCTATACTGGAATACTTGTGGTCTCAAGGGGAAACTCTCCAATTGGTAGCTGGTCCTGGAATATAATGTTTTTATATCTTGCGAAGCCAGTTTGGTGTAGTGGTTAAGTGCGCGGACTCTAATCTGGGAGAACCAGGTTTGATTCCCCACTCCTCCGCTTGCACCTGGCCGGATGACCTTGGGCAAGCCGTAGTTCTGATAAGAGCTGTTCTTGAAAAAGAGCAGTTTCTGTCAGAGCTCTCTCAGCCCAACCTACCTCACAGGGTGTCTGTTGTGGGGAGGGGAAGGGAAAGGAGTTTGTAAGCCGCTCTGAGACTCCAAGTGAAGGGTGGGGTATAAATCCAATCTCCTCCTCCTCCTCTTCTTCTTCTTCATTTCAAGCTTTTAAACTACTCTAATGGGAGAAAGTAGTGTTGTCAGAACATAAGAACTTAAGAGAAGCCATGTTGGATCAGGCCAATGGCCCATCCAGCTCAACACTCTGTGTCACAGAGTGGCCAAAACTCAGGTGCCATCAGGATTAGGGTTAGGGTTAGCAGGGCCAGAACTCCAGAAGCCCTCCTACCAAAGCTCCAGCTTGGGAAATTCCTAGAGATTTTGTGGTTAAGTCTGGGAAGGGCAGAGTTTGGGGAGGGGAGAGGCCTTGGCCGGGTTTAATGCCATAGAGTCCACCCTCCAAAGCAGTCATGTTCTCCAGAGGGACAGATCCGTGTCATCTAGAGTTCAGTGGTAATTCTCCATAGAGGGCAGCTTCCTTGCTTCTTGTTAAAGGGAGGATCAGTACCAGGGTTGCCAGCTCTTTGTTGGGAAATTCATGGAGATTTGGGAGCTGGAGTCTGGGGAGGGTGGGGAGAAGGAAGATCTCAGAGAGGCATAATACCACAGTGTCCATCCTCTAACCGGATTTGATTCCCTACTACTCCACTAGCAGCCGCTGGATGACATAGTTCTGTCAGAGCAATCCTTGAAAAAGACATAGTTCTGTCAGAGCTGGTGTCAACTAGAGTTCAGTGGTAATTCTGGCCCACCTAGACTCCATATAGGGCAGCTTCCTTGCTTCTTGTTAAAGGGAGGATCAGTACCAGGGTTGCCAGCTCTTTATTGGGAAATTCATGGAGATTTGGGAGCTGGAGTCTGGGGAGGGTGGGGAGAAGGAAGATCTCAGAGAGGCATAATACCACAGTGTCCATCCTCTAACCGGATTTGATTCCCTACTACTCCACTAGCAGCCGCTGGATGACATAGTTCTGTCAGAGCAATCCTTGAAAAAGACATAGTTCTGTCAGAGCAATCCTTGAAAAAGA